CCCCAAAACCCCAAAACCCCAAAACCCCAAAACCCCAAAATATTTTAAGATTATTGAATATTTTAACTTATGAGCATTTTTAACCAATCAAGTAGTGGTTTTAGTAGCAAACATGTCAGCATCAATCCCCCTCCCAGTGTGTCTGATCTCAATGAAGTGTTAGGTGCGAGTGTCAGTAAGTTCTGTGACAACCATAGCTTCATCCAAACTCAGCGAGATCCCTGCCTTTGAAGAAATCGAAGCAATTGAGCAATCTAACAAAAACAAAAAGCTTGAAGAGCGCAGACAAAAAGGACGCATCAGATCTAAAGCCACACGAGAAAATAAAAAGAAGTATCTCCAGCATCTTGAGGGCAAAGTGGCCGAACTCGAACAGGAGAAGTTCAGGCTGCAGAACTTGTTGATAAGCTACAGAGCAGACAAGCTGTATGACATTGGGGCTGGGTCGAAATAGTCCGATCGAGAACATTCAGTCTAACAAGTACAAAACCATTGAACAATTCTTCGATCGGGAAACTACTCAATATGTTGGCAACAAATCAGTCTCAATGGCAGCAAACTTCGAGAAAAAAATGTATAAATAACTTACAAAACCACAAAGAGTTTATCGATAAAGCTTTTGAAGCCATCATCAATAGTTATAACCCAAACTATAAGAAAGTCTTTCTTCGAGACTTGGGACCAGATTATACAACTGATTACAAAGTAATTAAGAAGTATTCCACGTTCTTCACTGGAGAAACCAAACTGAACAAATACCAGCAGCAAGAGTTCATCAAGAAGCATAACCTTAATTTGGTTGATGAATTTGCTGCATCGATCAACCCAACAAAGCAACAATTTGAGATTTCAAAGATGATATTTCGCAAATATTACCTACTTAATCAGAAATATAAGAAAGCAATACAGCTACTTTTGGAAGCCAAACAGATTATTGAAGAAACAAATGTTGATCATAATTCATTCACAAAGTTTCTGATAGAGTCACAGATTTTTGAAGAACGTCAGATGATGAATTCCATGCTGAAGAACAGTATCTTCACAAAAGACAACGCTTTCAAAGACATCTGGCAGATCAAAATCTCAAACAAAACATACACCTTCAACATTCTTGACGACCCAACCATGGGAGAAATTGCTACAAAAATTCTAAAAACCCCAGCAAAACTCCACGAAGTATCATTTGAATACAACCATTTCAGCTTACCATAAAATTCCTGTTTTACCCAAATTTCAACTCTAAACCTCACTTCCGGGGTTTTGGGGTTTTGGGGTTTTGGGGTTTTGGGG